GAAATCTCACACCTTCAATTACTTATCTTCTGAAACTTAATATTACTATAAGGATTTTGGTTTAGGCCTTTCTAGCTATATTAGTCAACTGGAGCTGCCGTAACAAAATACCACAGACTGGGTGGCTTAAACAACAGAAATTTATTTCTGATAGTTCTGAAGATTGGGAAGTCCAAGGTCAAGGTTGCTAGGAAGGTAGGTTTCATTCTGAGGACTCTTCTCTTAGCTACCTTTAATTACCTTCATAAAAGCCCTACATCCAAATACATTTGGGTTGGGGCCTCAACATACAAACTTTATGGGGATGCTAACTTTCAGTCCACAGTATTGCCATTATAGCATTTTCCTACTTGGCATTTGAGAAAGTAAGATTTTTTAAAGCTAGTATATGTTTTCTTAAGAGGTTTTTTTCCTTCCAATACAATACTCTGTTATAAATAATCTAGTTGCTAAAATAAATATTTCCTTATTTGCTTATACTTTTGCTTCCTCATAAAGTAAATTTCCCTATAAGTTAGTTAGTGCTATGAGTAACTATGAACCTTGACTTTAAAAAAGATTTATGACTATTTTTTAAAGCAGTTTTAGATTTACAAAGAAATTGCACAAAAAGTAGAGAGTTCCCATAGTTCCCTCTCCCTGCTGCACACAGTTTCATCTATTATTAATATTTTGCATTAGTGCAGTACATTTGTTACCATTGATGAACCAGTATTAATAGGTTATTATTAATCAAAGTCCATAGTTTGCATTAGGGTTTACTCTGTGTTGTACAGTTGTATGGGTTTTAACAGTTGTATGGGTTTTGTATAATGACATGTATCCTTCATTACAACATCATACAGGATAGTTTAACTTCCCTAAAAATGCCCTTTGCTCTACCCATTCATCCCTACACCCTCTTCCTCAACCTCTTCACAACTACTGGTATTTTTACTGTCTCTATAGTTTTAGCTTTTCCAGAATGTCATGTAGTTGGAATCATATAGTATATAGCTTTTTAAGATTGTCTTCTCTCGCTTAACAATATGTATTTAAGGTTTTTCTATGTCTTTTTGGGGTTGATAGCTCATTTCTTTTTCCAGTAGTCCTTCCTTATATGTGGGGGATACGTTCCAAGACTCCCAGTGGATGCCTGAAACTCAGATAGTACCAAACCCTATATACACTGTGTTTTTTCCTAGATATACATACCTTTGATAAAGTTTAATTTATAAATTAGGCACACTAAGAGATAAACAACAATTAATAATAAAATTGAACAATTATAACAATATGTCGGCATCACTACTCTTGTTCTTTGGTGACATTATTAAGTAAAATAAGGGCTACTTAAAGACAAGCACTGCGATATGTTACTGTCGATCTGATAACTGAGATGGATACTAAGTGACTAACAGGCAGGTAGTGTGTACAGTGTGCATATGATAGACAAAGGGGTGATTCATGTCCTGAGCAGGATAGGGCGGGACAAAGCAGGACAGCTCAAGATTTCATTATGCTAGTCAGAACGGCACTCAATATAAAACTTATAAATTGTTTATTTCTGGAATTTTACACGTAATATTTTTGACCTCGGTTGACTACAGTAACTGAATCTGAGGAAAGCAAAACCACGGATAAAGGGGGACTACTGTATTGCTGAATAATACTCCATCGTATGGATGCACCATGGTTTGTTTATTTGCTCATCTGTTGAAAGATACCATGGTTGCTTCCCATTTTTGACAATTATGAAGAAAGCTGCTATCAATATTTATGTGCAGGTTTTTGTGTGGACATAGGTTTTCAACTCATTTGGGTAAATATCTCATGAATGAATTAAGTATTTAGATTAGAATCTAGACAAAAACCTTATGCCTTTCACAAAGATTACCTCAAAATAGATCATAGACCTAAAGGGAGAACACAAAACTAGACAACTTCTAGAAGATAACAAGAGGTGGCCTTGGGTTTGGCCAGGGGTGAAATGTTATGAGCTGAATGTTTGTGTCCCCT